CCTCCACATCCACATGCCTTCCAGCCAGTAGGAGGAAGGCGCTAAAGGCCTGGCCCAGCGTTTCTGAAGGTGTGGGGAGCCGGCACGGCCATGGCATACTCAGTCCCAGGGCGCCTTATGTGCCATGCCAGCTCAGCCTGGTTCAGTGACCCTGAGTGAGGACGTGAAAGGATTGAGAAAAGACACACTTTGGCTCCCTACCTTATTTTTGTTTTTTGGCCTTCTTACTTTTGCTTTTTAAACTTAACTTCTTATTTTCTTATTATTGTTTTTTAAGCTTACTCTCTGCGTGCCTTGGAGCCTCCTTTCACCTGACCACTTTTTAAATTCCCCCGAACTCAGTCCCTGGTCGGGCGCCATGAAGGGAAGTTTCTGAGAGCTGCCATCACACTTCCATTGTCCTATCATTGACCAGAAAGAATTTAGTCACATGGACACACTTAACTGCAAACTATGCTGAGCAGTGTGTTCTGGATAGTCATGTACCCCACTCAGAACTGAGGGTTTATTTTTTTTTGAAAACGTGATATTGGGAGCCAGTTGGCACTGCTGCCACAGTTACAGAGCTCTCTTGAAAGGAAATGTCTTCTTATCGTCTAAGGTGAACCAAATGGAGTGGCTCACCTTGGAATCAACCTCTTTTTCTCTGTAGGCGACCATGTCTGAGTCTGGGCACAGTCAGCCTGGGCCCTATGGTATAGAGAGGCGGCGACGGTGGAAGGAGCCTGGCCCCGGCGGCCCCCAGAATCTCTCTGGGCCTGGTGGTCGGGAGAGGGATTACATTGCACCATGGGAAAGAGAGAGACGGGTGAGTTTCTAGTCCCAAGGACAGCATTTCTGTATCCACTCATTCCACAGATGTTTATGGAGCACCTGCCATGTGCCAGGCACTAATCTAGATGCTGGGGATATTGTGAACAAAACCGGCTGCTCTCAGGGAGTAAAAAGGTAGAGGGTGGAAAAGGGAGCCGTCTTAGATGAGGTGGTCAGAGAAGGCCTCTCTGAAGAGCAGAGACCCGAATGAGGTGAAGGAACAAGCACTGACAAAAACCTGAGTGAAGCCCTGGCCGGTTTGGTTCAGTGGATAGAGTGACAGCCTGCAGACTGACAGATCCCAGGTTCAATTCCGGTCAAGGGCACATGCCCGGGTTGCGGGCTCGATCTCCAGTAGGGGGCGTGCAGGAGGCAGCCGATCAATGATTCTCATTATTGATGTTTCTATCTCTCTCCCCCTTCCTCTCTGAAATCAATAAAAATATATATTTTTAAAAAAAACACACCTGAGTGAAGAGCATTCTAGATAGAAAGAACAGCAAAGACCCTGAGACCTATATCTGGTGTGTTCAAGCCAGGAAGCCAGTGTGGCCGCAGTGGATGAAGGAGGGAAAATGATAGGAGGATGAGGTCAGAGAGGTAACTGGGACCAGATCATGTAGGACCTGGAAGGCCATGGAAACAACTTTGGATTTCACTGAATGAAATGGGCATTGGAGAGTTGGAGACAACAACACAACTGTTTCTGTTTATTGAACAGCATGCAGTGTATTGATTCTGTGCAAAATGTCTTACATCCTTCGGGTCTTCCTGAACTCTACAGCTACCCATAAATGCGATTTTCACTAAGGAGGAAGATGAGCCTCAGAGGGGAAGGGACTTGCCCTAAGTCATAGTCAGTAAGCTCTAAGGCCAGGACTCAAACCCAAATCCAGCTGAGCCTTAAGCAGAGCACCATCTGCCTGCTGCAGAGTGTCCTGGACTGGGAATCAGGGCCTTGTGGCCCAGGCCCTTCCTTGCTCTTCTCCGGTGCTTAGATGACTTACTGCAGAATCTACCCTCTGGGTTTTTCCTCTAGTGCCCTGCCCACCTCTGAAAGCTATTTGGTGGGGTGGAAGAAGGTAACAATTGGGACCAGTTTCTGAGTCATAAGACTGCAAAGATGTAGACTGCTGGTTTGGCTCAGTGGATAGAGCATCGGCCTGCGGACTGAAGCGTCCCAGGTTCGATTCCGGTCAAGGGCACATGCCTGGGTTGTAGGCTCTATCCCCAGTTGGGGGCATGTAGGAGGCAGCCAATCAATGATTCTCATCATTGGTGTTTTTCTCCCACTCCCTACCTCTCTGAAATCAATACAAAATATTTTTTAAAAAAGAATAATTTATTCACAGGGAGCTAGTGTCTTCCCTTGGGTCTAACACAGTCTTTCTTCTACACACATCTTCCTGGGGAATGATGCCATCTTCCTACACCTTCACATCCTGAACAAACAGCTCCCAAATCTTTGCTTTGTCTTTGACTTGACTACTGAGCCCTGACAGCCTCCTAACTGGCCAAGGGACTCCTCACAACCTTCATGTCCCCTGCTGATCTCAGCATCTTCTGCCATTTCTCCTCCTAGTATCAATGACAACCCATTGGGCCTCATCCTGGACACCTGCCTCCCAACCCTATGCCAGTCAGGCACCAGTGCTGCACATTGTGCCTCCTGAATATATCTCCTGTCCATCATCTTCTCTCCACCCTCACAGCCTCAGTCCCACGTATCATCTACTCCTTCCTGAACCTTCTCACCTGTCACCCTCCCTGGCCTCCTGGAAGCCCACAGCCTTTCCTCCAACAGTTCTCTTGCAACTGTCTTTCCAGAGCACTTGCATATCATCCTTTTGTTTTTTTCTTCACCAGTGGCCAGTGAAGAGAGCATTGAGGGAGTTTAAATAATCTTCAATATGTGGCAGAAGAAACAGACCCAGTGAGGGGTCAAGATGCTCCCGAGTTTAATCAAGAAACCAGAGAAAGAATAGGACTCACACTCACATCTCCCTTTTCTCAAGCAGATTGGGGTGAATCAGAAGAGGCACAGAGAGGGCAAGATGTGGGAATCAGTCCATGGGCTTGGCCAGCACAAGAGCAGGACTGAGGAGAAGAGGGTCAGAGTAGCAGGTGCTACCAGCAACTCTCAGGTGGTGAGCACCTGCTGTGTGTCAGATGCCACATGGACAGTTGAATTCTGTCTTCTTTCAGACTCTTATATAATAGACTCACCAGGAGGAAACAGGCCTAAGTGAGGGTGGTTCCTCATCCAACTTCATACAACTCACAAGTGGCAGGGCTAGGTCTGAACCAAGATCTGTCTAGCTCAGTGATGGCGAACCTATGACACGCGTGTCAGAGGTGACATGCGAACTCATTTTTTTGGTTGATTTTTCTTTGTTAAATGGTATTTAAATATATAAAATAAATATCAAAAACATAAGTCTTCATTTTACTATGGTTGCAAATATCAAAAAATCTCTATATGTGACACGGCACCAGAGTTAAGTTAGGGTTTTTCAAAATGCTGACACGCCGAGCTCAAAAGGTTCGCCATCACTGGTCTAGCTCCAGAGTCCTTGTTCCTTCTCCCGGGGCTTGTCTAGCAGAGGTAGCTGCACAGAGCTGTTGGCAACATGGGTTCTGGAGTCAGGCCGCCTGGGTTCAATTTTGCCTCCATTGCTTATAGGGCTGTGTGACTAGCCAGTTAACCTATCTGTCTCAATTGCTTATTTGTAAAGTGGAGATAATAATAGTATGTATCTGCCAGACCAGCGTGGCTCAGTGGTTGAGCATTAGCCTACAAACCAGGAAGTTTGATTCCCAGCCAGGGCACATCCCGGGAATCCCCAGTGTGGGGCGTGCAGGAGGCAGCCGAACAATGATTCTCATCATTGATGTTTCTGTCTCTTCCTTTCCCTTCCTCTCTGAAATCAGTTAAAAAATAATAGTATATATCTCACAGGATTGTTGGTAGATATTTTAAAAAAATAATAGTATATATCTCACAGGATTGTTGGTAGGGTTGAGGGAGTTAATGTATGAAAGCATTTAGAATAGTACCTGGCACATAAAGGCTTTCAGAGTAGTATCTAGGAGAGCCAGTGGAGTAACTGCCCTCCCTCACCACAGGATGGCAGTGAAGAGACAAGTGCCTCCATCATGCAGAAAACCCCCATCATCCTCTCCAAACCTCCAGCAGAGCGGGTGAGCAGGGAAGAATCTTGGGAGGGGGAGGCTGGGAGTAATTGGGTCAAGGATCTCTCCCACTGACTGGAACCTCCTCACTCATAGTCAAAGCAGCCACCACCTCCAGCAGCCCCTGCTGCCCCACCTGCCCCAACCCCTCTTGAGAAGCCCATCGTCCTCATGAAACCACGGGAGGAGGGCAAAGGGCCTGCGGCTGCAACCAATGCCTCAGCCCCTGAGGGCACCACCCCACCACCCCCTGCAGCCCCCGTGCTACCCAAGGGGGAGAAGGAGGGGCAGAGACCCACACAGCCTGTGTACCAGATCCAGAACCGGGGCATGGGCACGGCCGCGCCAGCAGTTATGGACCGTGAGTTGGGACTGAAGAGAATCTGGTTGGGAGCTGGCACCCCCTCACACAGACCCTCACTGCATCCTCTGTCTCCTGCTTCGTTTCCAGCTGTCGTGGGCCAGGCCAAACTGCTGCCTCCAGAGCGCATGAAGCACAGCATCAAGTTGGTGGATGACCAGATGAATTGGTGCGACAGTGCCATTGAGGTACTGGGGGAATGGGTCTCTCCATGCCTGAGCTTCCCCAGGTCCCACAGCCTCGCCTCCATCACCCCATACCTCCAGCCTCTTGGTGGGCTACACCAGACAAGCTTTCAGGCAGTTGCAGCCATGAGAGGAAATGGATCTGAAAGCTCTCACCGGCCAGGGCTGCATTTCAGTAGCTTCAATAGCTCAGCTGTACTGTTGGTAAAGTACTGAACCACTTTCATACTGGTTGGCTAAGAGGTGCTCCCACTGCCACTCAGATGCCTGGGGGTCTCCTGCGCCCTCCCACAGCAGGATGGCCTCCTGGACCCTGCTTCAGTCTCCCTCCTAATTGGTGGAAGCACTTGTTGTACCAGTGTGAGCTGGTTTGAGTATCACTCCCCAGAGGTTCCCCCTCCATCCCAGCGCCCCTGCTCTAGTTCAGACCTCCCATTCCTGGACTGACATACCTACCTCCAGTCTCCGAGTCTTCATTTCGCCTCTTGTGCTGCTCCCCCATCCCCAGACCTGTCAGATCAGGCTCCTAGTCAAATTCACCCTGGTGTGCCCCCTCCTTCCCCAACAGCTTGGACTTATTGGGACAACATGCCAGGCCCACCTGTTACCTGGCTCCGCTGCCTCTGTGTGTCCTCTCTCGCACTGATATCCACTGGGGAGTGTGGTTAGTTTGTTTGTTTGTTTGTTTGTTTAAACGAGGCAGTCCTAGCCGGTTTGCTCATTGGACAGAGTGTTGGCCTGCAGACTGAAGGGTCCTGGGTTCAATTCCAGTCAAGGGCACATACAGGCTCCATCTCCGGCCCTGATTAGGGGTCATGTGGAGGCAACCAATCGATGTGTCTCTCACATCAATGTTTCTCTCTCTCTCTCTTCCTCCCTTCTACTCTAAAAAAATAAAAAGGAGCCATTGTCCAGGCCCTATTCTTTAGCATTATAAAGATGTTCTGTATTTGTATTATCTAGTATGGTAGCCATTATCCTTGTATGTGACTATTGAACACTTATCCACATGTCCCAATATGTGGCTAGTACAGCTGAGGAATTGGATTTTTAATTTTGTTTAATTTTAATTTAAATAGCCACATGTGGTCAGTGGACAGGGCTAGCCCTAGATGTGCTGCTTTCATGTGTTCAGAGTTAGGCCCAGGATTAGCTGCCTTTTTTTTTTTTTTTTTAAGCTCTCCAGGTGATTCTAAGGAGCAGCAGCCACAGTTGAGGACATACAGTGAATCCTCATTTAAAATCCTTGATAGGGTCTTGGAAACTGCGACTTTAAGTATAATGACGTATGATGAAACTGATTTTACCCTAGGCTAATTGATATGAACAAGAATTAAGTTCCTTGCCCTAACCGGTTTGGCTCAGTGGATAGAGCATCAGCCTGCGGACTCAAGGGTCCCGGGTTCGAGTCCGGTCAGGGGCATGTACCTTTGTTGTGGGCACCTCCCCAGTAGGGAGTGTGCAGGAGGCAGCTGATCGATGTTTCTCTCTCATCGATGTTTCTAACTCTCTATCCCTCACCCTTCCTCTCTATAAAAAAATCAATAAAATATATATATTTTTAAAAAGGAGTTAAGTTCCTATGGCATATTTCTGGTCACAGAAACATCACCAAATTTCTAAATAAAGACCCAGAACACTTCTAACATTAAACATTGAAATAAATGCTTTTATTAATCTTAAGAAACCCAAAGATCAATAAAAACAAGTCAGATATTTATTTTCCAACCCACTTATTCCATCCAGTTCAAGGTCACAGGTGAGTCTATTCCTGCAGCTCAGGCTCAAGGTGAGAACCCACCCCAGACAGGAGCCCTTCCATCGAAGGGCCATTCATACCCACACTCACACTCACTCAGACTGGGACAGTTTAGACACGCCAGTTCACCTAATATGCACATCCCTGGGATGTGGAAACCAGAGTCCCGATAGAAAACCCATGCAGACATGCAGAAAACATACAAACTCCACACAGATAGTGACTCCAGGCATCTAGGTGGCAGTGGGAGCACCTCTTGCTGGGAATTGATTTTATTTCTTTCTCATTAACCTTATAACAAAATTATGCTTCTCAAGGACCTGCTCTATTTTATTCCTTTTCCTTGAGTAAATGTCTCTTATGCCCCCTGGTGGTGAAAGTCAGCAGAGTTGGCCCAGAGGTGAAGGTCTCATGAATTTCCAGGACTGAATCCCACAGAAAGAGCCAGGACGGACTGACCTGTTTCTGCACACTGCTCCCTTTCTCGTGCTTCCTTCCTGTGTTTTCCCAGCCTGACTGCACAGATTGCCTCCCAGGAGTCAGCTCTGAGAGCCCTCGGTTACCTTGAACCTGTCCTTCCGTTTCCTGTGCTTCCCCTTCTCTTCCCAAAGGCCAAGCTTCCCTTTTTCCCACTGAGTTCCTGTTAGCTTCGTCACCAGGTCAGGCTCTTTTCTACTTTGGAATTCTCACATATGCTGTTCTTTGTGCCCCAGATATTCTATGTATCCCACCACACACACACACACACATGCGCGCGCACACCCTTTGCCCAATTGAGGCAAGAATCTTTTTCTTCATACCTGATAAGACAGGTGGGCAAGCCATAGAAGTCTGGGGCTCCTTCATCTCATTCCCACTCTAGCAGCTGACAGATTCATAAGGGCTGTATTCCTGCGTCTTCCCACAGTACCTGCTGGATCAGACTGATGTGTTGGTGGTTGGTGTCCTGGGCCTCCAGGGGACAGGCAAGTCCATGGTCATGTCGTTGTTGTCAGCCAACACTCCTGAGGAGGACCAGAGGTGAGGGGACATCAGGTAGGAGTGTGGGGGGGCCAGGAGGGGAGTGGGCACCCACCTGAGACGGGAGGGCAGGCCAGGGTGTTCCTAGTGGTGTTACCAAGATCTTTGAGAGTTGCTTTCCCTCTCTTAGCCTCAATGTCTTCATCAGATGAGGACTAAGAGGGACGAGACTAAATTTTTGTGTAGTTCCAAGGTCACCAATCCTGGTCCTCCCTTCCTAACTGCCCCCGGAAAATGTACAGAGCACAGGCGGGAACTGGGATGGTGTACTCATTTGTCTTTGGATCGAGGCCACCTCAGTCTCAGCCCTGCTACTCACCAACTGGTTGACCTTGGGCAGGTCACTTCACCTCCCGTATCTATCTCACTTCCTCATCTGTAAAGTGGGTTTTTGAAGTAAGATCAGAAAGGCCAACACTAACGAGAACCTGGCACAGAGCAAATGCTCACGGATGTGGCTGATTCGGCCTGGGAAGTAGAATGTGAGAGAGATCTGGATGGAAGGCATCGGTTCTAGACCAGCCTCAGTCCTACATTCTTGAGTAAGAATGGGGTGTGATCGTGAAGATAAAGGATGAAATCCCAGGAGAGGACTTGGTGGAGGAGGAGCTTGAGAACTAGGGTCCAAAACTGAGGGCAGAGAAGGAAAGGGAGAAAGGCAGGGATTAAAGAGTAGGAAGACTCAAAATGGGGGAACAGAAGGGGTGGTAGCCACTTGGGTTATCTCAAAACAATAGTTTTGTTTTTTTAATAAAGCAGGTGATATCACCCTGCACTCCACAGATGGGCATCAGGAGTCCATGAGAAACACCCTAACAACAAATGCAGAATTTTACACCATCTGCAGTCAGGGGTTTCACCCAGGAAAGGATCCATAGTTTCCACCGGATCTGGGTGGGGGGCTGATGCGGACCCAGAAGAGGTTAAGGACCATCGCTGTGAGAGCACATACCCACTAGAGCCGGACTTGTGAGGTTCCCCTGCCTCCCAGTCGCCCCATCCCCTCTACTCACTCATGACTTCAGCTCAGCTGGGCTCCGCTCTGGAACAGCTCCAGCTCTCACAGTGTCTCCACCTCAGCCTTCAACCCCACCTAACAATGTCCTGGTGACTCTCATTTCAGACTCCTGAGCCAGAATTCTATTGGCCTCGCTTGTCTTTTTGACCCGTCAGCCTGTGGCAGGGTGGACTTTGGTACCAACTTTTGTCATCAGGTCGCATAAGTTTTACCTCCTAATTACCTTTAGAATTCATCTGCTTCTCCTCCACTCCCACCTCCCTAGTTCAAGCTACTGACATCTCCCCTGGAGGATGCCAAGACGTTTCCTAACTGGTCTCCCTGCTTTAGTTCAATTCAGCAAGCATTTATGGAGTGCTTACTGTGTGTCCGGCACTGTTCTGGGTCCTGGGGATGTAGGAGTAAACAGAACTGGCAACAATATTTGTCCTTGCGGGACTTACATCTGTAAGGGAGGAGATAGTAAACTAACTAAATAAATACATTATTGGGCATGTGAGAAGATGATGACAAAGTGGGAAAGGACACAGGGAGGCAGTGTTAGGGCTACGTTACAGTCTTACGTTGGGTGGTCAGGGAAGGCTTCACTAAGGGGCATTTGAGAAAAAGCAAACTTGGAGGAGGGAAAGCATTCCAGCCGGAGGGATGGCAGTGTGAACCTCTGGGGCGGGAGAGTGCCTGGCATGTGTGCAGAATGGCATGGAGGCCCTGCAGCTGGAGCAGGGTGAACAAGAAGGGGGGTTGGACATCAGGTTAAAGACAGGGAGGCCCCAGAGTGCGGGGCTTGTCAGTCATTTTGCACTCTTCCCACCCTACAGTCCTGGCCACACAGCAGCAAGGGGATGCTTTCCAAAACCCAAATCCAGTCCTGTCACTCCTCCACCTACATCTCTTCAGGGCTTCCCCAGGTTCATGGGCCAAAGCCCCAGATCCCCACCGTGCCCCCCCAGGGCCTGTGTACCTCTTCTCACTCCCAACCCCTGTTGTCCTCTGTGCTCTCACCACACTGCTCTGATCCTTATACAGACCATGCCTTCAGCCTGGACTAGTCTTCCATCCTCCATCCCCCCCACCCACTTCCCCCTTTAAGTTAATTAAGTTGCTTACATAGCTTCCTCTCTCACCCTCAGCAGCATCATTTGCCTCTTAGGGCAATCCTTCCTTCCTCCATAGACAAACTTACTCCCACTTGGAGCGATACACACCCTTCTTCCTAACACCTGCAGTTACTGACTTCTGCTGATCCTGAGCTAGACCAGAAGCTCCACGGAAGCAGGGACTTTGTCTTTCTTGTTCACTGCTACGTCCTGGTGTCTGGCACATAGGAGGTCTGCAGTACAGTGTTAAGTGGGAGGATACCTGCTCTGTGTCAGAAGACATACTAAGCATCTCAGGGAGGTGGCAGTTACCTTTTGAGAGGCAGGGTATCAAATATATGTAAGGCTAAGGGCCCACAGTGACCAAGAGATTTGAGACTGTTATCCCCATTTTACAGATGAGGAAACCAAGAAAAGCCACACAGCCAGGAAAGGCAGAGCTGGGATTTGAATCCAAGCAGTCAGGCCTAGTCCCTGCTCTTCAACACCGCAGTCTATTAACTTTGTTAAATGAATGAACAAATCTACTTATGGGAAGGGGTGGAGTCTTGTGGTGTAAAATACAGCCCCCCTCCGTCCCCCAGGCTGCAGGGGCGGTGGGTGGAAGGCTTTGTGGGCAGGCAGGGAACCACGTCCCACATGCTGATTTCACTGGAGTGTCAAAGGCCGAGAACCAGACTCCAGTGCTCCCCTCCTTCTCCTCCACAGGGCGTATGTTTTCCGGGCCCAGAGCGCTGAAATGAAGGAACGAGGGGGCAACCAGACCAGTGGAATCGACTTCTTTATTACCCAAGAGCGGATTGTTTTCCTGGACACTCAGGTGCCAACCTCCACTTGCCCCACCCTGCTGCATGCCACCTTCAGCTCCATCCCAGAGTAATGTTAAGCCAGCACCCTGTTTGGATTGCATGTGGTTCCAGCCAAGCCAAAGACATGCTCCGTGCCCTGGGCAAGTTATGTCTCTTTGGCCCTTAGTCTCTTGTCAGTTTTGCCCCCCTCTTCTCCCTTTCATATGTACAGAGTAGCCTAAAAACTCTTCTAGCATACCAATGAAAAGTGTGGTCCTAGAATCAGTGTCCAGATTCTGCCTTTAAGTCTTCCCAGCTGGGTGACTTTAAGTAACCAACACCCTCTCCCCACTCCCAGCCTCAGTTTCTTCATCTGTAAGCAGGGATGCTAAGCATACTCAGCCCCAGGACTGTAGCAAGGATTCGAGTAAGCAACACCCTCTCCCCACTCCCAAGTTTCTTCATCTGTAAGCAGGGACGCTAAGCATACTCAGCCCCAGGACTGTAGCAAGGATTCAGGGGAACATCCAGGCACAGTGTGTGGCACAGGATCTGCCACATGCTGAGCATCCAGGCTCATCGCTGCCCTCAGTAGTGACCTGTCATGCATTTAACTGGCAGCTTTCCTTACCTTCTCCCTTGTTCTTAAGCAAGTCCCTGTTCCTTAGCCTGGCATTCAGGGCCTATGTGACTTGCCTCCTCCAGACCCTCTAGCCTTCCCTCTGTGGTGTAGTCACCAACCCTGCCACACACACCACAGGCCTCACCATGGTCTGTGAACACTGCAGTGCTTGGAGTTTGGAGAGACCCTGTGGGCTTTCTTTTCCTTCGTGGGAAACATAATATTGCCTACCTTTAGGGTTTTTGTGAGATTTCAGTGAGTTAACACAAGTAAAGTGCACCTGACATAAAGTAGGTACTGGGTGCTCTTACCCTCACTGCCTTTGTCATTAGAGCACTCTTCCCGCCCTCCCCATTTTGCTTGGCTAATGCCTCCTCCATGAATATTTTACTGGGATGTTACCTGCTCTCGGAAGCCTTCCCCTCCTCGGAGAGCCCATTAGTGCCTATTGCTCCTCCCATCGCAGCACGTGATTTATCAGTTTGGTCCTTTTTTTAAACCACTCATTTTTTATTGATTTCAGAGAGTAAGGAAGAGGAGGGAGAGAGATAGAAACATCATTGATGAAAGAGAATCATTGATCGGCTGCCTTCTGCACACCCCGCACTGGGGATCAAGCCTGCAACCCGAGCATGTGTTCTGACCGGGAATCAAACTGATCTCCTGGTTCATAGGTCGATGATCAGTTTGGTTCTTGTGTACTGTTCCCCTCCCCACCTGCCTGGAGCGCTTCTGGGAGGAGCCCTGTCCCGTAGGTGGTGCTCACTGTGGGCAGTGGTGACCTGGAGAGTGGAAAACGTACCAGTGTGGCCTGAGACCTGTGTGCCAGGCTCTGTGCAAGGACCATGGGGCCCCAGAAGTGAACTGAACTGTATGCAAGCTGGGTCAGGGGCAGAACGGAAGTTAGACAAGTAAGACAGAACAGAACATTGCAGTGCTTGGAGTTTTAGAAAGTGAGCAGTTGGAAAAGCCTGTTTCTTAATTCCATTCATCACTGCAAGAAGGCAATAGATTATCAAGCTAATTTAGCTCTTAAAAGTTTTTTTAATGAAATATTCCTTTACGAAAAGTTTCATGTGTGCACCGCCGATTCTTTTATACTCACTGATAGAATTTTTAAATCCTCGCACTAATTTTTTTTATAATCCTCACCCAAGGATATGTTTTATTGATTTTTTTAGAGAGAGAAAGAGAAAAAGAGAGAAGCATCAATGTGAGAGAAACATCGGTTGGTTGCCTCCTGTACCTTGACTAGGAATCAAAACCGCAACCTTTTGGTCTACAGGATGATGATGCTCCAGCCAACTAAGCCACCCAGCCAGGACTACACTAATAATTTTTTACCTAAGTATCTTAGCAAAGTTTTGAAAGTATTTGAAACAACAACAAAAGGGTCTTGGGGGGGCATGACTCATTCAAGTAGATGTTAAATTTGTTAGCACTAGGACTTCTCTCCTGTTTGGGAGTGAGGCACTTGAGAGCAGTGGTGATTTGTAAAAGAGTTGGGGAAAGAGTGCCTGCTTTGACGCTTCCCTTTCGCCTCTTGCTGACTAGCACTGTACTACTTAGAAGCTGCCCGCTTGTGTTTCTGACCTTATTTTGTCCTGAGAGAGGCGAGGCGATGTATCTGCCTTTAGCGTGTGGGACTTAGGAAGCCATGACCCTTAGGATCCGACTCACAGTCCCTTCCCTGACCCATTTTTCTCTCCCTTGCAGCCCATCCTGAGCCCCTCCATCTTGGACCATCTCATCAACAACGACCGCAAGCTGCCTCCAGAGTACAATCTGCCCCACACTTATGTTGAGATGCAGGTGAGGGGCCGAGCTAGGCCAGGGGTGAGGCCCCACCCTTCCCTGCAAGATCTGTGATGCGGGGGCTGGGTATGGGTTGTCCTTGTTTCTGCTTCATCAGAGCCCCAGCTCCAGCTGCAGGAAGAGGACAACACTGAGAGTCAGATCCGGTGCTACCCCTCAGAAAAGTCACTGCCCGCCCCTCCCCTTCAGCCTCAGTATCTTCCTCTGAAAATGGGGGTGATTGTTCCAACTTCGTCCAATTTAGGGATGGCCCATGAGAGAGGTGCCAGCACAGTCTGGGCGCACAGTGGGTGCCTAAAGGCTCTGAGACCCTTACCCTGCTGCCCCTCAGCTGAGTCTGGGATCAGGGACCCCTCTCTGGGCAGAGGAGACCTTCAACTCTATTGTCTCTTCCCACCCTCCCTCAGTCACTCCAGATTGCCGCCTTCCTTTTCACGGTCTGCCACGTGGTGATTGTCGTCCAGGACTGGTTCACGGACCTCAGTCTATACAGGTGAGAGGCTGGTAGGAGCGGGGACTGGCCATGAGACAGGGCACAGAGTCCCAGCCACCTGCCCAGGTCTCCCAAGCTCCACTCCGCAGCCACAGGGACCCTTTCAGAATGTAAATGGAGTTGGAGTGGGTCACTACCACCTAACGCTCCTGACACCTCAATGGCTCTCTCACCACTTTCCCTCCCTCTCCCCCTACATCAAAGCCATGCAACTTAGTCTCTGCACTCCTCATCTCTCAGCCAGAAACATTCTGCCCTCAGATCTTAGAGAAGCATTGATCAGACTGTCAAACTTCAGAGGGAAGGTAGGGGAGGGGAGGGTGAGGATAAGGGGGAGCGATCAACCAAAGGACTTGCGTGCATGCATATAAGCCTAACCAGTGGACACAGACACCAGGGGGGTGAGGGCCCGAGGGGGTGGGGCAATGGCGGGATAAGGACACATATGTAATACCTTAATCAATAAAAAAAAAAAGAATCCCTCTCTGGTGGCCTTCCCTCCGGCCTTCCCTGACCTCCTCACTTAGCACTCTGCCCCTCCCCCCATTGCCCTGCTGTGTTTCCTTCATTGCCCTTTTCACCCCTGACAGGATACTGTAGATCTCTTTATGGTCTGTCTCTCCCATTAGAATGGAAGCTCCATGGTTGACAGGGGTCAGGAGGAGGGAGGGATGACTAGGAGGACAGAATCCCCAAAGCCTCACTCAGTGCCTGGCACAGGGTAGATATTTAATACAAATTTGTTGAATAAATAGCAGGAGGAGCTGGCTTGTCTGGTCCTGAGAGTCTTGTCCATCTCCTGCAGGCATGTGTACCATCCGCTGGTACCCTGCAGGCAGGAAAAGGGAGGGAGTCAGGACCTGGCAGGAGTCCTGCCTCAAGCAGCTGGAAGTTCCAGAAATGCCCCCAGACAGAGCTGGCTCAGAACCTCGGGCCACAAGGGTTCTTCTAGGCCTCGCCCCCGGCAGGTAGCTGAGGGGAGGCAAACAGCCTTGGGCACAGAGCCCGGGCAGAAGGAAGGCAGGGGAGCTCTGGGCAGGGAGAGCTGAGCTAAAGGAAGCAGATGTCTCCAGAATCAGCCAGCCCGGGGTTTGACTCCCAGCTCCCATTGGAAGTGGCTTCTTTTCCCACAGCTCCCCATAGGCAAGGCTTTTATGCAGACTGAGTTAAAAGAATTTAAAGCATTTAGCATAGTGCCTGGTACATAGTGAGCAATTGGTGTGTTTTTTTTTTAAAATTTATTTACTGATTTTAGAGAGACAGACAGAGAAACAAGGATTTGTTTTTCCGCTTTCTTATGCATTCATTGATTGATTCTTGTATACCCTGACCAGGGGTAGAACCCACAACCCTGGCATGTCAGGACACTTCCTAACTGACTGAGCAACCCGGCTGGGGCTAAATGGGAGCTTTCTGTTTGTGGTAGTAACCCTGGGTGCTGGGGGAGCTTTGGGTCTGGTCAGAAGTAAGAAACGATTTGCTGGGGAGCCAGCTTTATGACCAGATCTAAGTAACCTAATTATGAAACCTCCGCTCCTACCGCCATTGTTCATTGGAATTCATTCACATGACAAATAACATTGAGCATTTACGTATGCCATTCGCTCTTCTTGGCACCGGGGATCAGATGTGAACAAAACATTAAACAGACTGCCCTGTGGAGTTTACTTTCTGGTGGGACTGTGGGCTCAGGTGCGGGCAGGTAGGAGAGCCTTGTTTTTAAGCCGGAGGTTACCAGTGGGCTCAGAGTAGGTGAACCCCTTAAAATTGTGGAGACCATGGTGTTTGTGTGTGTCTATGTGAGGAAAATGGCCATCATTTTGTCATATCCCATCATTCCTTACCTCATAACAGCTTAATGGTATTTATTTTTACATGTTTGGAAACACCTAAAAGTAGCATAAACTGAAAACTTAATGTCCACACAAAAACCTGCACACAGATGTTTATAGCAGTTTTATTCATAACTGTCAAACTTTAGAGGCAGCCATGATGTCCTTCCATGGGTGAGTGGATAGGTAAACTGGTACGTGCTGACAGGGGAGTTATATTCAGGGCTAAAAAGAAATGGCTGTCAGGCCGTGAAAAGACATGGAGGAATTTCTAATGCATATTACTAAGTAAAGGAAGCCAGTCTGAAGGTGCCATTCAGTATGATCCCAACTATTTGGCGTTCTGAAAAAGGCAGAACTACAGAGACGGTAAAAAGATCCGTGGTTCGGGGCTGAGGGGAAGGAGAGATCACTGGGTGGAGCACAGAGGACATTTAGGGCAGCAAAAGAACTCTGTGTGATCACAGTGGATACATGGCGTGTTTGTCCAAACCCGGAGAGTAAACCGCACCAGGCGTGATCCCTGATGTGAACCATGGACTTGGGGTGATGATGACGTGTCAGTGTAGGTTCATGGAAATGTTGATAGCAAGGAGGCTGGGGACTGGGGCACGGGCCTATGGGACATATGTGTACTTTCCACTCAGTTTTGCTATGAACTTAAACTGCTCTTAAATAATAGCATAAACTAAAGAAATTTATACAGTTGATGTAAATCCATGGATTTGTTTCTGAATTCCGTAAAATTGTGTGAGAAATCTGGTGTGTATGCGACATCCCCCAGGCCATGGGATATGGGGTGTCAGTGCCGGAGCTTCAGCCAACCTCTCATCCCGAATCCCCAGGTTCCTCCAGACAGCGGAGATGGTGAAGCCCTCCACGCCGTCCCCCAGCCACGAGTCCAGCAGCTCATCAGGCTCTGATGAAGGCACTGAGTACTACCCTCATCTGGGTGAGAAGCTTTCTGGGGCCAGAGGAGCGGGTAGAGGGGAGAAAGGGGCAAAACCAGGGACACGGGGGAAGTGGGGAGCTGGGAGGAGGGACGTAAGAAAGAATTAGCCGCTTGTTTTTCTGAGGGTCCCACTGCCACAGTCCCACCCTGGCCACTGAGGGCAGGACCCTGAGTCTGGGTCTGGCCCCTTGATCAGAACGGAGACCCTGGGGGACAGGACCCGTCTGCCTGATTCTGGGTCTCTGGCATCTACGAGAACGGGGCGCAGTGAGTGCTAGAGCGATCCGAGTGGCCCCTTGCCCCTGCTCCCACCGGCCCTGCGTGCCTCCCACATGCGCTCCTCTGCCTGTGCGGTTCTTGCTCTGCTCTGTGGATGCCCTGCTTGTCTGCAGAGACCCAGTCCACTTAGGACACCCCAGGCAGGGTCTTGCCTACTTCTCTGGCCTTGCCAAGCCCCTCGTGCGCTTTCCGAAATACTCCTAATCATGTGGCCATCCTCCTCTCTGTCTTTTCCATCTGCTGGCAGAAACCCCATCTGACTCATCCTCGGGGTCCCCAGCATCGCCCAGGGCCTGGTGCTAAAGTGAAGTGACATTCACATAAATATTTGCAAGTGATCTTGGGGGTCAGGGCAGGTCTTTGGGATGGGAAGGGGAGTGCACGTGGCCGAGCCTCACGGGCCCCGTCTCCCCTTCACCCGCAGTGTTCCTACAGAACAAAGCTCGCCGAGAGGACTTCTGTCCTCGAAAGCTGCGGCAGATGCACCTGATGATCGACCAGCTCATGGCTCACTCCCACTTGCGCTACAAGGGTGAGGTCCCCCGCCACTCCCAACCTGGCAGGTGGCTCCTAACTCCTGATCCAGCCTCAGCCCAGATCCCCAGACTAGTCTTCCGATCCCAGCCTGACCATCTTACATGTTCCTCCCGCCCCCTCCCCTGGCAGCATGGGACCTGCAGGCTCACAAGTTCTCTCCTCCAGGTACTCTGTCCATGTTACAGTGCAACGTCTTCCCTGGGCTCCCCCCTGACTTCCTGGACTCTGAGGTCAACTTGTTCCTGATGCCCTTTATGGACAGCGAAGCGGAGAGTGAAAACCCACCAAGAGCAGGTACGGTTCCCCCTCGAGGGAATCGGCCATGGGAGACGGTGCTTCCTTGGTCTGGAGGCTGACATGGGTCCACCTTGGTTAGGGGGAGACACGGTCTGCCCTGGCCTGGAGGTGACAGGAACCCATCCTGGTGTGAGTGGAGGCTCTGGCCTGTCCCTGAAGTGCTTGGACCCTTTTTCAGGAGCGTGTTTCAGAGTGGGGACCAATAGGAAGAGCTGGGCTGGGGCTGAGCTCAGGAGCTCCTGGAAGCCCAGGATGCTGGTTGACTGGCCCCTTATCTTCTACCTCCACTTAGCAGGACCCAGCTCCAGCCCACTCTTCTCCCTACTCCCGGGGTACCGTGGCCACCCCAGCTTCCAGTCCTTGGTGAGCAAACTCCGGAGCCAAGTGATGTCCATGGCCCGGCCGCAGCTGTCGCACACAATCCTCACCGAGAAGAACTGGTAAGAGCTCTTGGCAGAGTGGGGGGTGAGTGTGAGGTGCCCTCTCCCTTCCCCCTCTACCCTCCTCCCCCACCCACAGGATGTTCTCAGAGTTCTCTCCACATTGTTTCCTTTTCTGGAACATTGATAATTACTTCCATCTTATAAGTGCCTCTTCCATGCCAGGCAATGTGCTGTTTCATGTGGTGATTTTTACTTAAAAAATTGTATGGTTAAAATTAAAGTCAGGGTTAGGGTTTAGGGCAGAGTTTAAGGTTAGGTTTAGCGGTTAGGTTAGGGTTAGGTTTAGTGGTTAGGTTAGAGTTAGGTTTAGAGATAGCAGTAGGGTTATTGTTGAGGATTTAGGGCAAGCATGTCAAACTCAAAGGCTAACACGGGCCAAATAAACAAGGTGTAAGTTTATGTGGGCCACAAAAAAACAAAAGCTTCAATTTTCATAGAAACTTAGATTTATTTTGATAGAGACATGCTGAATACAAAGGGCTGAAATAAATGAGTAATTGTTGACATAAAATAATAGAACATTTTAATAAAAATTAATATTTTTTCTTGAATATTAACTTATCAAACACTGAATAACTGCACAAATTAATAAGCGTAACACAAATAAACCTATTTTTCTTGTTCTCCGAAAGCAAAATATTTCCTGTTGTGCACACCAAACAAGTCAGTCCAAGAGTAATGACGTGGCAATCGGCTGCTAAAATATTCACTGCTAGTATTAGTGGAGAGAAATGGTGCGCCTGCAAATAAGGCGCATAAGGGAAATGAATGCAACACGATTATAGTAATCAGTCATTAGTGAAAGTTGTAGTTCGGTATTAATAACTATGTATAACAGAATATTGTAAAAATTATAAAATTTTTATTAAAATGTTTCTTACATACTGTTATATTGGCTGGGCCACAAAAATATTCGTTGTGGGCTGCACATGGCCCCTGGGCCTCAAGTTTGACATGCTTGATTTAGGGTTTAGGTTTGGGGTTATGTGTAGGGTTAAGGCTTAAAGTTTAGGGTTTAGGATTAGAGCAGTGATTCTCAACCTTCTGGGCCTTTAAATACAGTTCCTCATGTTGTGACCCAACCATAAAATTATTTTCGTTGCTACTTCATAACTGTAATGTTGCTACTGTTATGAATCGTAATGTAAATATCTGATATGCAGGATGGTCTTAGGCGACCCCTGTGAAAGGGTCGTTCGACCGCCAAAGGGGTCGCGACCCACAGGTTGAGAACAGCTGGATTAGAGGAAGTATTAGGGGTAGGCTGTTAGGGTTAATGTTAGGTTTAGTGTTAAATGGTTGAGGTTAGTATTAGATGGTTAGTGTTAGAGAGTTAGGTTAAGAGTGTTAGGGTTAGGTTTATTTACTTTATTTAATTAAACTTAATGGGATGACATTGGTTAATAGCATTATCTAAGTTTTTAAGTGTACAATTTTATGATACACTTATGATCAACTCTGATCAACTGTATCTTGCATTGTGTGCTCACCACCCAAAGTCTAGTCTCCTGTCACCAGATATTTTGACCCCTTTACCTGCTCCATCCTCCGCCACACCCCTTTCCCACTGGTCACTCCCATACTGTTGTCTGTGTCTGTGGGTTTGTTTTGTTTGTTCATTTGTTGCTTTAAATTTTATATTCCACACTAGAGGCCCTGTGCATGAGATTTGTGCACTTCGTGGGGGGAGGGTCCTCAGCCCGGCCTGCACCCTCTTGCAGTCTGGGAGCCCACAGGAGATGTCTGATTAACAGCTTAGGCCCGCTCCCACTAGCCATCAATCAGTTGGACATCCTTAGCACTGCCGCCACCGCCACTGCACTCGCCAGCTGTGAGCCTGGGTTCTGGCTAAGTGGCACACTGACCACCAGGGGGCAGCTCCTACATTGAGCATCTGCCCCCTGGTGGTCAGTGCACGTCATAGCCGTCAGTCGTTCCGCTGTTCGGTCTATTTGCATATTAGCCTTTTATTATATAGGGTAGGATTGTTTCGTGTGATTTCATATCCTCCTAATTAACCATTGGAGTGTACGTTTTGTCACCGATTTTACTAGTGGGGAAATTTAGGCTCAGAGAAGTGTCACATAGCAAGGTCACACACTGTGGTTAGGTGTCATTTGATTGTGAAGAGTAGGACAGTAAGCTTAAAGAAGATTCATTCTAAGGCCCTGAGTGCAGAAAGTAGCCTCACAGGAGAAGAAACTAGAAAGCCGCCAGGAAACACAGGCCTGCATTTTCCAGCTTTCCCCAGATGCCATCTCATTGTCTCCTCTCCCCCGCCCATGTTCTCCCTCCTCTGCCACTGGTTTCACAGAGCCCTGCACCCCTCCCCAGCCCCAAGTTTATGTGACTTTTTATATCCAGAGCCCACAGCAGGTCTGCCTCCTCTAATTTCTAAGAGAAACAAACCAGAAAAAGAAATAGCTTGGCTTGGTGCAGCTCTGTCTTGGTTCCCTGGGTCTGTTTGCCTTCGGGTGTGGGAAGGGGCAGGACGAGGTGGGCTGAACCAGGGCCCAGGGAGAGGGAGAATTTGGGGTAGAAGGGTTAGGCAGCTGGTCATCACAAGACCCTGGAGGGAGGCAGAGATAGAGCCGCTCCCACAAAGGCCAGCACTGAGTAGAATGGAGGGAAGTTTGGACACGGGGTGGGGGCTGAGGCTTTAGTCCAGGTCCCGCATCTGCAGCTTCACTTACCATGGCAGTTAGGGAATCAGGGTTGGCATCTTCCCTGTAGCCCAGTTGAGGGGGCCCACATCACAGGTCACCTGTGGGCCCAAGGCTGGGTGGGGCCCCAGCAGGGCAACTCTGACTGTTGGCCTCCTCTCACAGGTTCCACTATGCTGCCCGGATCTGGGACGGGGTGAAGAAGTCCTCTGCCCTGGCAGAGTACAGCCGTCTGCTGGCCTGAGACCGAGGGGAGCGGTGTCATGCAGGAGCCCCTTTCTGGGCCCCAGTGGATGGCAACGGAGCATGTACGTCCTCGACCCTCTGGCAAGGTGGAGAGGGCCGGTAGGCCTGATGGATGAGGAACCGTGACTTCCTCTCCTGGAGACGTGAGGTGTTCAGGGCCAGGCCCCTTGCCCTCAGTGGAGCATTGTTCAGGGGTGACTGAGATCCTACCCGCAACCTGGGACGGGGCAGCCCATCCTTAGGCCCCACAGGGGTAGGTGGGGGGAGGAGGCTGAATGGTCATCAAGAAGCATGGGCTCCATCTTGCCCCTCTGCAGGGACAGGAGCAACAGGTCCCTCTTCCCTGACTCCCAGCCCTTTCCTGTAAGGTGAGGCCCAGTCTTGGGAGCTCTTTATGGGAGCAGATCTGGTGGTGCGAATAAAAGCAGTCATGCAAGCTTATGCTGGTGCTCCTCCTCCTTTCTCCCCACACGCTGGCCTGGAGCAGGGCACGTTTGGGTCCCAGCCCCTGCAGGCAGGTTATCCTCCGTCACCCACTGTGGCCTGAATGAACTTCCTACTGCGACTCATTCAGTATCGGTCACAGACTTGCTGGGAGTAGGTGAAGACCAGTTTCAGTTAGGGAGGAAGCCCCTAGATGCGGGGTTCTGTTTCCTGGGCGCCCTCAGGCCTCGTCTCTGTGTTGCGGAAAATTCACTGGCTGCCCTTGTGTCGTCCGCTCCCACTTGAAGGCAGTGCCTGCCTTTGGTGAAATGCCTGGCTTAACACATGGTTAACAACAGAGCATGTGCCTCGGTAGGTGCAGTTGGTTAAATACAGCACTTCCCCATGGCTTAGCCAGTTCTGCCCTCGTTCAAATGCTCAGACCTGACCCTGGCACGTGATGCCTACTGTTGGTTAAATATGGTGGCTTCCTTTCCCTATAAACCTCATCTACGCTTTAAAAAATGGTCCCTCAGGTTTGTTCCTGTTATTTAAATAAAATTTTTAAAATGGTCCCTACCTTTCATTTAAACCCAGACCTGCCCCCAGTTAAATACACCATACAGTTCAATTAGTACCCTCTCTCATCTGCTCAGTTAAATACAGTGTATAATCTTAGTATTTCATAAAGTATGTCTCTGAATTGGTCTGGCCACCCCACCCACATCCCAAATTAGTCCTGTCAAATCATGCCACTCCACCCTTCCATAAAGCAGTCGGTTCCAGTCTACCCAGCTAGTCTCCTCTGTCTACCGCTGCCCCAGGCCACTTCTTTTTCTCCTTGGCTTCCCCTACCCTTGGGCAGACCCAGAGAGTCCTGGTGTCCATGTCATGGGAATCCGGAGTCTGTCAAGAAAAAGCACAGCTGAAGGGAGTGGGGTAGTGAAGAAAGCACTGAGGCCAGGCAAGGTCTGGCCGGAAGTGGGGACTCTGTGGCTCTCAAGGGAGGGCTGAAGTCTGGGAGGTGTGAAACCAGAGCAGGCTCTGGCCTTGTCACTTGCTGATCTCCCTTACTGATCCCCAGGGCCCTTCAGAGCCGTGACATTCCCTCTTACAGAAATGCGTTTGCATCCTTTGCCCGCCACCCCAACCTGCACAGGCACTCCTAGCGGCCTTCTCCCGGGGTAGACAACTGAGCTCTTGTCCCATGGCCCCTCCCCTCCCCCTGCTTCCTAGGGGGACTGCTGGTTGATGGGGGTTGCAGAGTGGGGAAGCGGGGAGGGGGCAGTGGCCCGAGAGGGCATAAGACCCAGGGCACAAGAACACAAGACAGCACACGGGCTGAGTCAGGAGAGTCGGACCTTGATTTTCTTCCCACACCACCCAGCCTGGAGACAGACAGAGCCTGTGTCCTCCCAGCCCTTCCTTCCACCTCCCGCTGGCCTGGGCTGAGGGCTGGGATTATTGATTGGAATTCTCTGAGAGCCTGTGCTCAGTGATGTTTAGGAAGGTCTGTATCAGCATGTGGGCATCCTCGACCGCCACGTCCAAGGACAAGCGGAGCATCTGGTAGACAGTGGCAAAGGAGATGCCGCAGGTGGCCAGGGCGCCCAGGACGGGCACATTGAGGAGCTCCTGGGTGAAAGCAGAGGCATCCCTGGAGGCCTGGCCCAGCATGTCCACCACCAGCTCCTTGGTGACCGGGGTCTTCGGGCCCTGTATCACCTCCAGTAATCTGTGCAGGGGCTGGCCCGTCTGCGCAGCCAGCTTCACGAGGGAGTCCTCGTCCAGGCCGAAGCTGTGGTAGTAGCCTTCTAGGGCGTGGATGAGCCGGTAGAGGTCACACGCCACATCCTGTACTCCTGGCACAGGACTTGAGTTGATGCCACAGGCCACTGTGGCCACCAACCAGATGTGCTGCCGCAGCGAGGACGCCTTCTTCTCTAGGATGGCCTCGGAGAGGTTGGGCAGGGCCACCAGGAGTGCATGCTGCTTGTGGCTCTCCACTCCCGTCACCATCGATTCCTCCAGCAGGCCGAAGTCGTACTTGCCCAGCTCAAACATGGACAGCAGGAAGACCTTGGGGTCCTGCAGGCCCTCCGCTGCAGGAGGCAAGAGCACCGTTCAGTGGTCTCCACATCAGAGCAGCCGTGGTGCCCTGACAGCTACCTGGGCTCAAGCACTTGCCAGGAGTCTGCACAGCCTGTGGCTTAGGAGCGTGGGCCCTGGAGCCAGGCTGCCTGAGTTCAGACAGGAGCCTTGCTACCTGTGTGGCCTTGAGCAAGTTACCAAACCTCTCTGGTCTGTAAAATAAGGTGATCATTTTACCTACTTCCTAAGGTAGTGAACTGAGTTCATGAAAATGGTGTGTGGCCTGTGTTGAGCCCGCAGTGAACGTTAGGTGCCATCAGTGATAGGTGCCAGCATCTGCATGGGCTGAGCCCGCAGTGAATAGGTGCCATCAGTGATAGGTGCCAGCATCTGCATGGGTGCATGGCGTTGGCACTGCGTGCTTGATAACTAGCACACAAGCCAATACGTGTTATTTTCTTCCTTAATGCACGTGATGGGGTCTCTGTCACCTGTGACTGAGAAGTGCCAACTCAGGAAACGGAGTGTAAGTGCCGGACTTAAGCTTTGATTGAGGAGGCATCCATTTCAAAGAGGGCTGTCTGGAATAAACAGGCTGGCCAGCCCCAGGAACCAAGCTGCCCGCCCCCCCTCCTTTGTGTTAGAGAACTTGGTGGATTTCAGTATCTCCCCACTTGGGCTACTTGTTTTCTCTTCCTGAGCTTTAAATTCCTGCTCCTACAGTTTAAATTCACCAGTAGAGTAACACCAGAACCCTAGGCCCCTGCCCTCAACCCCAGTAAAAGCAGCACCCAGGCCCTTTGTTCCTCTGCGACCCCGCTGTGCAGGCCCAGGTCTGCTGTGTGATTGCCAGCCCTGTGAGTAGTAGACCTGTGTCCTTCCAATGTTCCCAGTGGCTGTTGCTGAAGGGCAAGCATCTGCCTTCGTAAGAACCGGGAGGGCTTGTCCGTCCCCTTATTGGTTATTGGTGGGCTGAGACCAGCACACGGCACAGCTAGCAGCATTGCACTGTGAGGCCTTGTTCAGCCTCCAAGTGTGACCTTAGGTAACCCGTTTCCCACTGAATCTCAGCTGGAAAATGAAGGGGAAGAGGGGGGCAATCCCCCAAGGATCCATCCCCCCCCGGCCCCCCAGAGAGGGCACCTCACCTTCCAGCCGCTGCCAGCAGTCCTCCCGGATCTGCCTGAGCACCCTCTGCTCGGAGAAGGTGCTGGGGCGGCGGCTGCGAGAGGCTGCGAGGTCCACGTCCACCTTGGAGCGGACGAAGTAGAAGGCCTTGCCCTGCTCCAGGAGCCCGCGGGCCAGCTGGGCGTGGCGGGCAGTGAAGCTGTCTGGGGTGATGATGATGAAGAAGTCGTAACGGTCCACCAGCACCCGCTGGAGGTATTCATCAGCCTGGAAAGTGGGCGTGTCTATGCCCGGCAGGTCCCAGATGATGATGTTGAAGTACTTGGGGTGCGGGTATGGCGTGGGCTCCACGGTCATTTCTACCACACCCGTGCCGGCCGACTTGGGGTCCTCATCTCCCAGCCCCCGGATGGCGTTGACAAAGGTCGACTTGCCTGAGCCTATTGCCCCGGTAACGCCAATGTCCAGCCTGACGTCCTCCAGCGAGTGGAGTGTGGCCTGCAACTTGGCGGCCACTGCTGGCAGGTTCCCCGCCTCGAAGGTCTCCTTCAGAGCCCCGGTGTCCTTTGACAGCTCCGAGATGTTGAACTGGAAGATTGGGTTCGCCATGGGCTGCCTGACCCCCAGTTCCACGTCTTTGGGACTTGATGACCTTTGGCAGGACAGGTAAGGGAGTGTGTTCACCCTGAGTTGCCCTCTCTTCTCCAGCCCTCAGCAAGCCCAAGACATTGGCGGCACCACCAGTAATAGTACTGAGTGTGACATGGTGCTAATAGGCCCGGTGCTAAGTGCTTTATTCATCACTGCTCTGCTGCAGGGTTTCATAAACTCCTCAAGAGCCAAAAAAAGGAGATCAACCCCCTTACGATCCACATTCAGCAGTGAGAGGAGAGCGCACTTGCCCAAGGCCTCCAGCCAGTGTGTCGGGGTGGGAATGGGACTTGGGTCTTCTGATCCTAGAATTCCAGTTCTGAAATAACCCTGCACCAGGCCCTGCGCTCAATATACGTCAGTGATTAAGAGCTGGAACCCTCATCATCGCTAATAGTGTATTTAATGTTTACTCTGGTCCAGCCACTGTCCTAACCATATGCCTCATTTCATGAAGTCCCCATTTTACAGAGGAAACAGGCTCAGGGAGGTAGAAGTCCCTTGCAAAATGCCTTACAGCTTATACCAGAGCCAGGACATGGGCCGCTCCCACTGGCGCTTTTTCCCCTTATGTGTTTCCCCGTGATTCAGCACCCCGTGTGTGCCAGGACCTCTTTGAGTGCTGCAGTTCCAACACCAGGAAAAGAGACCCAAGGGATCTGGTGCATTTGTGGAAACACTGCCCGCCTCAAGGCCTGGCTTCTAAGTGCTCATTTGCTCAGGAGCCACAGTGCACCTAGGCACACCCGGATCTGCCTCTGGGCTTGGAGTCCTCACTCGTGGGATGGACGGGCGGCCAGCGCTGACGTGGAATTGCATGACTGCGTCTAGACCAGTGATGGTGAACCTTTTGAGCTCGGCGTGTCAGCATTTTGAAAAACCCTAACTTAACTCTGGTGCCGTGTCACATATAGAATTTTTTTGATATTTGCAACCACAGTAAAACAAAGACTTATATTTTTGATATTTATTTTATATATTTAAATGCCATTTAACAAAGAAAAATCAACCAAAAAAATGAGTTCGCGTGTCACTTCTGACACGCGTGTCATAGGTTCGCCATCACTGGTCTAGACCCTGCCGTGCCAGGGACTTGCCAGGTGATGCTCAGCAAGTCATGCCCCCTCTGCTGCCTTTATTTCCTACACCTGCGAGGGTGGGTGTCAGCTTCCTCACCTGTGGAATGGAACGATGACTCCTCAGAGCCTCCCAGCTCGGCTGTTTCAGGAAGGCCCGGGGTCTTACTGCTGCCGAGGTTCAGGCAGGGGCCAGCTTGGGAGGGGCTTGGAACGTCAGGCTGAGTTGATCTTTATCTGTGGGTAGCCATGGGGAGGGCTTGAGCAGCGGAGGGAGAAGTCTGCTGTGGACATTAGAGTCCTTCTGTGGCCTATGGGGACTGAGTCTAGAGCCTGGGAGATGAGGCAAGGCAGGGGCTGGGGCAGGAACTGGGTGGACAGGTGAGACCTGAGCTGGAACAGGGGCTAAGGGGGTTTAGATGGGAGATGGGGAATGGAGAGATGAAGGCAGAAGGGCCAGGACACGGTGACTAGTTGGAGACAAAAGTGACCCTTTCGATCTCTCTCAACCTTAGGCCCAACGTGGAGAGAGCACTCACTACTCATGCCCACCTTTCCATCCCCGCCACTGGGGCCAGTGAGTCCTGTGTTTAGGGTGGTGTCTGAGGGCCCCTGGTATAAGCTGTGGGCTGTGCGCTGAGAATGGATTTGGAAAGGATTATCTGTCTTACACATCTGGGATTTCCCTACCGTGATCCCCCACACCCTTTTTGGTGCAGCAAGACCCATGTGAACCCCAGTAGTCCCGGCAAAGCCAATGAATGGGAGGCAACTGGGAAAAGAGGAACCCGTTTGCAAAGCAGAGCACTCTTCAGCCAAGAGCATCAGCACCCCCTTTAATCGTCCAGGTCAAAGCGGACCCTCTGAGTCAGGAGCTGTTTCCTAGGGTTGGGGGTCATTTGAGGCCCCCAAAGGAGGCAAGAACCATCACCAGCTCCTGGGAAATCCACAGGGAGTATTTGTGAGCACCTGGGGGTGAGCCAGCTCCCTGCACCCAGCCTCAGAGCCTTGTGCGAGTTCCTGCATCTAAACCTGACCCTTGTCTTAGCCCACAGAAGCCCCAGGCAAGCCACCCTGTCCACAACCCCAGCCTGCGAGTTCTGGAGTTTTAGTCATGTGATCCTTGAATCAGCCAAAGAGTTTGGTTTCACTGGGTGCCTGGTCCAGACGCAAGAAATGCTCACTCACGTGTGTACACGTTTTCTGTCACTCACAGCCACATGCAGCTTTCAGACCCCAACACAGTCACCGTCATTCAGACCACAGCCTTTCAGCACAATCCCAGTATTCAAGCACGCGCACACGCACACACTGA